TGTCCATTGTATTCCGTGCTTTCGCTCAGGTGTCGAGGTCTACATAATCCAGTCGACCACCAGAAAAAAGAACAAGGGAGGGAGTAAACAGCCTTCTTTGACTCCGGTCCTCACTTGGAATGCATCTGTCAGCTGTAGAGCTGGTCTATCCAAGAGTAACGCGAAGGGTTCTAACCATCTTTTCTTCTGTTCTTTACTACGAGTGATTGGCTTGCCTTCTTTGCCTTTGACTGGTTTCTCTGGTTTACTATATTTTCGAGTCAGTTTCTTCGTCGTGTTTCATATTTCCTTCTCTTGCAGATTTAACGCTTTCGTTGCTAGCTACCCCACATATTTCTGCTTGTCGTTTGTTATGTTATTCTTCACTTGCTTGTTTGCTACTATGTATTCAGCTTTTTCCTTGAGTTTCTCTGCTCGTGTTCTGCTGTTGTTAATTGCTGTCTTCTCGTTCTTCCATTTTTTTAATCTTGTTTAGGGTTTCGATAGAAATCTATTCCTTATGATGATGCTCCTTGAGGCCCAGAACCTCCTGAGACGTCGATGTTCATTCTTTTTTGATCCCTTTCCATCGTCGCTTCTTCTTGGTTGAGTAGATCTGGTATAGGTCGGAACCGGTTGTTGTGAGTTATCTTGAATTCGTTGAGTTGCTCAGTATGTCTATGCAAGTCTGTACTTAACCTTTGTAATGCTGTTTCTGTAGTTGTCAAATGCTTCTTTAGCTTTCATCTAGGCCACAGCCAGGTGGTGAACTAAAGCTATGTCAGCTCTCCTGTTTCTCACGTCCTCCACTGACCTTTCGAATCTTTTAGAGATGCAAATATGACCTATCTGGTTCTCCGTGGTCCGAAGAATCTTGGCTTTCACCATGAGGCTTCATAATATCCTAAACTCCTAAGGCTGGGCTTACATGACCTAATTTGTTTGGTTTGGTTGGCGTTATTTTAGCATAATTTTTTTCTGAGGGATGGTGTTGCCGACCCTATGTTAAGCTTTCCCCCTTTGCTCGGGCTTGAGACCAGCAGTAACTATGGGAGGGCATCAGAGTGAGTTGGTGTCAGTACACTTTTGTATGCCACTAGGATAATAAAACTATTCCACAATTATAAATATGCCATGGTGTGACTACCTAAACCATGAAACCTCACTTGAAGGTACTGACTAGTCCTGTCGTGGCCGCAGGTTATTGCGACTAAAGAATGCATTTATGCTAGGAATAGAATATGATATTCATTATGAAGAGCAAGAAAGTACATCGCGGTGATCACACCTCCATGGCCGAGCCATACCATGCCGCGCACACCATTTTTCTGACCTTTATTATAGTGTTAAATGTCCAATGTAAATCTCTTGTTATCATGTGTGGACGTTGTCTACGTAGACTTTAGAAAAGCATTTGACAAGGTGCCAACAAATAGACTGCTGTTGAAGCTAGAAGATATTTGTATTGTCGGGCCTCTACTAAAATGTCTTAAGAATTTCCTAGTTCGTAGACAGAAAGCAAGAATAAATCCGTATTGCTCCACCTGAAGAGCTGTACTTAGTGGAGTGCCTCAAGGTTCTGCCCAAGGTCCTTTAATTTTCATACTGCATGTAAATTATCTCCTAAGTATAGTAGAGTCCCCAATGTTGTTATAAGCTGACGATGCGAAACTCTGGTGAGAAATAACGGAAGACGTAAATGCATGAGCACTCCAGGCAGACCTAAAGGAGTGCTGATGTCTACCAACGCGGCGAAGTGTGTGTACATGCACTGTGAGAATACAAAGGTTAGCAGGTACAGCATAGGTAAGTGCCTGTACCCCATGGTCTGGTCTCACGGGGACCATGGGATGACCGTGAGTCATAGTCTTAAGACCACGACCCACGGATGCGAGATCGCGGCAAAGGGGTTTAGAACCCTATGGGCTTTAAGACGGACATTCACCGAGTTAGATACTGCCATTTTCACCACAACGTAAAAATCCTTGGTGAGAACTACATTTGAAAACTGCGTTCAAGCTGTAAGCTACTGTTTAAAATGGTGACCTGGATATCCTGGAAAACGTACAGAAGGCAGCTACTCGTGCAATTTCAGCACTCCGGGGTTTGTCATATCAAGAAGGGCTTGAAAATTTAGACCTCTTTACTCTGTTTTATCGCAGATTAAGAGGTGATTGGATTTTGATGTATAGAATACTAAGAAATGGTTTTGAGCCTAGCATATCCTCTCTTTTTCTTCACACTAGATCGGGACATCTCGGAGGACATAACAGGCGAGTAGAAAAGTCTAGAACGAATAAAACACTCGTGGCTTACAGGTTTTCACACCGAGTCATCAATTCTTGAAACCAGTTACCTGAAGCAGTGGTGTCTACACTTTCAACTGAATCATTCAAGAGAAGACCAGACACACACAGAAGCATACTGGGAAAGGAATAACATAGGTCTTCTGACCTTACTACACAAATGTGAATCTGAAATCCGATAGATCGTCCTCAAGGATCGTGTGACTGAAAACCAATACCATGTAAACATTTGTAGCCAACAAACACAGAGAACCGTACTGAAGCAACTATAAGACATTAGAAAGAAATCACTTGGTTCACAATAGTTCGTCACAAAGATATTGGGCATTGAATCGTTGTCAACTAGACTAACACTGCTTATGCTTCGTATAAATAACCAATCATATTTATTCTACTCTCTGTATCTGAGCCGATTAAGGTAAATGCTGGACGTGTATTTTTCTCCTAAATACTAACTTTTAGACGGTTTTACAGTTGCGTTTTGTTAATTTTTCATTTCTTTTGTGAAGATCCATTGATCATTCCGTAAAGATCTTTAGACCCAATCAACCAATAAAGGGAAAATGAGAATGAGGGATTTCCTTTTTTTGTCGCTCTGTGTTTAACATATTTCTGAGTTGTCCACTTTTCGCCTAAATAAACGTCAAATTGTCTAGTTTTCGCCCATTTTTTAATCCACGCTTTACTATCCATCTTTTGCCTAACCTCAAATGTCATGACATGGGTGATCACCCATGTTAGTCTGTATTTCCATAACAAACTATTTGACGACTACAGTTGGCAACATCAGAAAATGGTACATATTTAAAGAAATTTAATAGTAGACGGATGTTCGAGCAATGATCGTTATGCTAAGTCTCAATCTTTCAATCCCGAGGAAGCCGCCAAAGAAAATTTTCGTGGAAATGTCACAAAATATCCCAGTTTCCCCAGATCTGGGGAAATCTAAACTTTGGGGAAAACCCCAAAATAGGGAGATTGGAGTCTTATTGTAGTTCATGAAGATCTGCAAAAGAAATTATGGGTTGTGGGTTATTAAGTCAGGTCTTTTCTTGAGCACTTCGCTGTGATCAATAGCAGCCTCTCATAAAACTAATCTTCATCGTTTCTATCATTGGTGCGCACATAACATTGGATAACATTCATCATGATCCCCTTTGTTTTGAAGGATTCTTTGGTGGTTCTGTATCTGTGAGATTCCCACCCAACAAGTTCATTTCTTTGAACAACATAAGAGCAGCTCTCTGGATGTGTGGAGCACTTGCCTCTTCGTAACCGGAGTACAGCAGTATTTCTCTTGAATTCAATATTTTCTGTCTAGCGTGGGTTCAATGAGTTTCACTGATTGGGATGATGTTGCCGACCCTATGCTCAACTTTTTTCCTTTACTCGTCCTTGTGATCGTCAGTAGCTGTAGAAGAGCTACAGGCGTTGCAGAACTGCAATATTCCTATAACCTGGTCTGCATGCAGTCTCAGACAATCCAAATCCAACCACTAGTTCAGGTTTAATTACTTAGGAAATGATTTTTTTGACGAAGCCTTATGGGTTATCATTCGATAATTTGATGGCTTCAACTACCCGAAAAACTTGTTAAGTCTATCTTACTATTCCCGGGAAAGACCATTCTAGTATCATGGACTGATCTTCAGCTTCAAGTAAATACCACAATTATAACGAACCCAAGTCAAGTTCATTGAGTTTTTTGTAATGGTGGTTTTGAAATTCTTTTACATACTGATCTTATTGGACATCAGACAATTGTGTTTGCGATTTTGTCAATACCTTTCCTCATTATGATCATAATTTTATGGTAAAGTTTCAATATAAGTTACTCAATACATATTTTACTCCTAGACGACCTCCCATCTATAAATTTAATCTGACCATTGAATATACAAACTTTTGTGATTTAGCGAATTCGACGTATCTAAGATAGGTTGGATAAACGAAGCATACAACCTGGATGCTATTGTCCTTGTAAATTGTGGTTCCGAAAAAGCTTCCCAAGACTAAGCCTTATCGTTTATCCTTTCTCAGTGACCTCGTTATCTCTTCATTCTTGCCTTTTATATCATTAATAACTATTAGCTTCTGTAATTGGTTTTTAATACTTAGTAAACAGTAGATTTGGTCGTTATACACCTTTCTGTATGTAAGCACTACTCCTGGACCTTTGTTTAGCACATAGATTACCTCATTTCTTCCTACTTTGTTTAATTATTGTTTCACTGAATTAAAAAAAATCAACATGCATTTCTAACTGTATCTTCCATCTAACTACTTGTAACAAAAGTCATGTGATGTGGATTTAAATCTGTCAGTATCATTCTTTGATGAATGTACGGATCTTGTCTGTGTATACAGGTTTTTAAAATGAACGTTTTTAACTACCTTATTTCCATTTTCCTAAAATGTTCATAACTTGGGACCAAGAAGTGGTCCTTCTAAATATATTGTCAAGATGAACCCTACGAAGATTGTAGTCATTGTGACCTGACTTTCTTGGGAACTTTGGCTTATGCGTCTGTTTTTGTAAGCTTCTCACCAACTTTTCTTTTTTATACTCCAGAAAAAATAAACTGAACAGAAAAGTATCACTTTAAATCAATTTTTTATCATACCTATACACTGGTATCTGTGTTAATTGTACAATCACGTGTACTAAGTAGTCAGTGATTGTGCTTTTTTGAACTTGCTTTTGTTTATACACCAATGATTCATGATACTGCTGTTAATAATTCTAAAGAATCAGGAATAACTACAGAAACCTCAGTAGGTTTTAAATTTTTACTGCATTATTAAATAATATTCAGATTCCTCATGAAAACCGACCTGGTAACAATTCTTTACGATCATATCGTAGCGGAGATTTCTCTAGAAAAATGAAACGAAAAGCATCTCAGATCAGTCATCATAAAGCTAAATGTGAAATAAGAAACGCACCATGGACGCCCGGTGATGATTATTTATTGATAAATTCCGTTGTCATGGTAAGTTGAATATTTTGTTGGTTAAGACAACTAACTGGCTAAACGAAGTGTAGACTGCTTCTCTATTTTATTGTGGTTGTTCACATCTGCCTTTCAAATCAGTTCCTTTTAAGTTACTTTAAAGATGATTAAAAGTAGAATATAGATCAGTCATTCGTTCATAGACACATTAGGAGCTGGAATAAATATATTTTCGTTGTAGTTGCCCTATTTTACATTTAAAACTTTTGTATAGTCAGAATTTCGACCCAAAATTCAAATAATTTTGAAGGCTATTTGGTGTTCACTGATAATCTATTGTTTATAACCATATATGTTTTATGGAAACCTCATTTACATCATGTATGGGCTTATGTACTGGACTTTGGGTTATACTTTCCCAATAATGCTAACGGCTGCCCGAAGCACAGTAAGTGTAGCAGGTTCCGATTATTTTATTATTATTGAACACATATCGGTACAAGGAGGCACCAAATACATATACGCCACACAATCATTTAATTTTATCTGTGTGTGTGTGCTGGGATAGTGCGCGGTCGCCCAAACCGAAGCAGGTGGCTTTCTTTGGGGGCCGTTTTTAGAGCATTCGAGCCAAAGGTCTGATCCACAAGGCAGTGGAGCATTGTAAGGAAATGCGGTCCCATGGTAGCCGGTGACCAACGATTGGTTCATACGCCATTTGTTCCCTCAGGATACTGGAGCCCATGCGCACCATTGGTTTGGAATCAGGGTTTTCCAACTCCCCTCCTTATCCATCATCCCTGTTATAGAACCAGACATAAGCATTTCGTCCTCTCAATTTCATAAACAACACCCCCGCCACGAGAAGACAATGAGTAGGTTCCAGACCTTCAACTTGTTAGTTTGAAGTCAAGTTCTCCAACTAATAACCCATCATTTTTTAAAAATGAATAGATCTAACACGTTGATATGGATTCGTAACTCAAAAGTCTTAGCCTTTAACTCTGAGTTATCAAATCTCAGATTTAAAGTAACCTCATCTTCGTTTTGGTCTGACCTTGTATAGTCACCAGCTGTCGCATACAGACTTGTATCGAATCAATAAACGTCTAAATGAACATTCGACTGTTATTCACTTAATGTGTAAGGGACTGTTATTCAAGTTCATTGTGACAAGTTAGCAAATCGTATCTTGTTTTTTAAGCAGTCATCTCCCTATCATGTTTTGTAACAGAACTATTTCAAATAAATATCTTGCACACAGGTATGTAACCTTACAGAAGTGTATCACACTGTAAGATTCGCTGTTCATTTTACGGAGAAAGAAGTTGAACGTCGTTGGCGTGATTTATTATTCGATCCAATCGTATCTAGGTGAGCCGATCAAAAACGTTATTTTGACTACTTTTGTATGTTAGTATGTAGTTAAATTTGCGAAACATATTTTTGTTGAAAATCACTTAGTTTATGGGATGTCTTGTCAAACATTACCCCGTTTAAAATCGATATGTGACTGCTACAGCCTGCCAATTAAACCATTCACCGCTAAACCCCTTCAGATACAACTATAGTAGTTAGCTCATTAGTTACTTCAAGTTGTTCCGGAAGTAGTAGTAGTAAGAACTCATAACTGGTGGAAGTGTCAGGATTGAAACGGTCGTCACTTATGTCATCGTATGGTTGTCAACGTATATCGCAAATTGAGTGGATTTGAAATTCTACCGTTAGGCGCCGACTCATTGGTTATGACAGTTAAGCGTTTGCCGCGAAACATGAAGGTTCTGGGTTCGGCCGTGGTTGTATAGATCAAATATGGACGTGTTTGTATAGATCAAATATTCACACTACGTCAGGTCCTAGAACATAGACACACATTCAGACGCCCCACAAGCATAGTATTTCTTGACCTTAAGGCGGCATTTGACTCTGTTGATCGTGAGGTTCTATGGCAGTTTGTCACTGAAAGGAGTACCAAAGAAGTACATTAACCTTATAAATGCTCTCTACTCGAACACAACTGGTCGAGTGAGAGCTTATGGCGAACTGTCATCAGAACTGAATACCTCAAGTGGTGTTCGTCAGGGCTGTCCACTCTCTCCATTCTTGTTTAACTTTGTTGTTGACGTCCTTTTATAGATGACACTTTCCTCATCTAAATTTCTAGGAGTTGAACTTCTACCGGGAGATCCATTTGTTGACTTAGAACATGCCGATGACATAGTTCTATTTGGTGAAGACGCTGACAAAATGCAGAGTCTGCTGACCACTCTAAGCAACAATGCAAGCATGTTCGGCATGCGATTTTCTCCCTCGAAATACAGAATGTTGCTTCAGGATTGGGTTACATCGGCACCTGGACTAATGATAGGGAGTGAAGGAGTTGAGCGTGTCAACCGCTTCACTTATCTCAGAAGTCTCATCTGCCCTTGTGGTCTGGTGTTTGACGAAATCTCAGCACGGATACAGAAGGCTCAACTAGCTTTTGCCAACTTGCGTCATTTGTGGCGTAGGCGAGATGTCCGTCTATCAACCAAAGGACTTGTTTACTGCGCAGCAGTTCGTTCCGTCCTACTTTATGGCAGTGCAACATGGCTAGTAAGAGTAGAGGATATTCGTAGGTTACTAGTACTTAATCATAGGTGTCTTCGAAACATTGCTCGTATATCCTGGGACCACCGAGTAAGTAATGCAGTTGTTAGGAAACGGGTACTAGGTAAGGATGGCAAATCAATTGATGAGGAAGTGAAACCTAATCAGTTGAGATGGCTGGGACATGTGTTACGCATGCCAGACCACCGACTGCCCCGACGTGCGATGTTTTCTGGTGTAGGAGTGGGTTGGAAGAAAGCTAGGGGCGGCCAGACCAAAACATGGCACAAATCCATGAAATCTAGACAAGTGGACTGAGCCATGTCGGTAGATGTAGACTACTTGGTTGGGGACCGCGAGATGATAGCAACCGATGGTTAGAGACTTTGAGTGACATGGCTCAAAATCGTTTGCAATGGCGCAGGTGCATCCACTCTCTGTGTTCTCTCAAACTATAATCTTCTGAATTATTCATGTCCTTTATTTTCTTTCCAAATCTATTCCACTGGATTATACTCCTTAAATAACATTGTAGTGAAGCAGAACACTGGTGAGGACAACTGAATGTATTTAACAACAAATTACAGAACTTGTTAGTAAAATCCAACAACCATATATTAAATCGTTAATTTGCAAATTGTTCATCAGTTGTCTCAAATGACTCAGAATCCCTTCGTCCTTGCATTTTCACACAAGTTGCATTCTTTCTTCATTCTTTATTGTTCGATCTTCTCATCTCTCTGCTGCCAGACATTCTGTTCAGTACTTACGTCATATACTACTTATGTCTACATAAGTAGCACACACCATAAACATCATCAAACCCTAATGTTCCCTATCACTACTTATACTTTCACTAGCTCTACCACTACGGGATTTGAGTCGACAACTGAATCTCTGTGCTAATGTTGTATGGCAACTCGAACTGATGTACGTACGTACGAAGTTCCACGTTGTTACTGACTGACTGACTGGGTTCGGCCTCTGGTGTGATGTGGTCTGCTATTGTTCTGTACTAAGACAAAACAGCTATCTAGTCATCCCTGCTTTTCAGCGGTATCCGAAACTAAATCAATCTGTGACAAATAGAACCTACGAATGTTGTGTTTGTTAGAGTACGTGAACGTTAACATTCTTCGAAGAATGCTATTTTTAGTAATAAGTTTATTTAAACACATAAAGATTGGTACAAAGAGATACCAAAGTACTGGTGCGCCACGCAATAAAAATGAGATTGTGAAGGGGTTGAAAAAGGAAGGTGAGCTTAATTATAGAAAAAGAACAAAAGTGAGTTAGTGTATAAGTGAAAATTAATAATACCTAACAATAAAAATAATAATAATAATCGGCAAAGCTGTTTTAGAAGTTCTTCTAACACATTTGAAAAAAGTAAAATGTTACAGCATTGGTTTTTATTGTGCGTCATGCATGATAACGTCTCAAACCACTGTGTCGCATCATCTCTATGACCCCAACCAGGGAGTCATGATAGGACAACGGAAGCCAGATCTTTACAGCTTTCTTACATACTATGACATGTCATACACCGACCACCTTTTTGCTTTTTCCAATCGTCCTTGGAGTCGGGAAAGAATGCGCGATGTGGAATTCTCTGGAACGACATTCATAGTACATATCCAAGTCACCGAACTCGTTTCAAGATGATGACATCAATTGAATTATTGTCTCTGTGCCCTAACGCGATGCCCAACCTCTGCGTTACTAACATGGTGTTGCCACTAGAAATCGGCAATCCTTCAGAGTATTACTGACTTATTTGAACACATAAATATTGGTACAATGACGCCCCCAAATGCCCTGGTATGGCTGAGAGCGGGGTGGGTTCGCCCTCCCTCTTGAAATACTCTCACACGGCGACGCGTATACAGCCTCTGCCAGGGAAGTCCTACTCACTGCCTTCTCGTGGCGAGGGTGTTGTTTATGAAAATGAGAGGACGAAAGCGAACGTCCGACGCCATATCCGGATCCCAAATCAATTATGCACATGGGCTCCAGTATCCTGCGGGAACAAATGGCGTATGAACCAATTTCTTGGTCATCGGCTTCCATGGGACTGCATCTCCTCACGATGCTCCACTGTCTTGTGGATCAGATCTTCAGGTGGACGGCTCGGTGTGTGGCCCACACCAGTTATCTGTTCTCCAGAAAATGCACTCAACAGATATTGTAGTACTAGCCGGAGACTTGAATGCTCAGGTCGGGCGTCTAGGCACAAAAGAGAGTCGTTTAGGTGGCCGATGGGGACTTGTTGGTCGCAGGACAGATAACGAGGAACGTCTACTGCAACTGTGCACAGAACACAACCTGTTTCTGGCTAGCACTAACTTTCGGCACAGTCATCGCCGATGTGCCACCTGGTGTCCTCCCTCTGCATCTCAAGCCTGGATTCAGATTGATCACATCGCGATCAGCTACCTCTGGCGTGGTTGTGTACAAGGCTGCCGCTCGTTTTGGAGTACCTCTTTGGAATCTGATCATTCTCTGGTCTGCGCCAATCTTACCTTACTTTTCAGTGAACAACGAAGTGACTACCACCAAAGGATTGACGTTAGCAAGTTGGTTGCAACTTCTGTTGCCAGTAAGTACCGAACCGAACTAGCTTCTAGACTAGCTACCATTCCACCGAAAAGTATAGATGAGCATTGGTTGCAATTGCATGACGCCATGAAAATGGCGGGTACAGTCTGTTGTGGGTTCGCGAAACGTCCCGCTTACAAGCACTGGGTTTCTTCTGGTTCCTTACAACTCATTGAAGCCCGTTGGTCTACTCCGGGTGACCGTGAGTTTGACCACAAACGAAGGATGTTACGTACTAAAATTGGGCAAAGCTTGCGTAAGGACCAAGAAGCCTGGTGGTCGGAGCGTGCTAACGAACTGGAAGCAGCAGCTGCATCTGGTAATTACCGGAAGCTCTTCCAACTCATCCGAGCCACTGGCAGCAAGAAGTTTGGTGTGAGCGAACCAATCTGCGAGGATGACGGAACGTCTTGGACGATGGGCAGAATTTTTCGGAGGGCAGTTCAACTGGCCTGCTGCTCTGGCAACGTCTGAAGGAAACACGTTACTGCTGTCACACCTCTGTACAATCAGCAGTACAACTTCGCCTTCGGACTTTATGTTTGTTACTTTTAGTCTTACCGACCTTTCTGACATGGTAGGACCTTGAGGAACGGTTGTTCCAGCCAATATAACTCGATTAGTTCATTACGATAGGCAAGCCTGTCCACAACGTCAAGGAAACGACAACGGTCGACATAATTCATGGATGATTTTTTTAAAGGTTTTTGTTACAACGCTCTGTTTTTTTCGTCTTCGCGTATAGGACGCTAATTTGGCTTAGACGGATATCCATACTAGATGCCTCCCCGGTGTCTATTCTACAGGACTTCAACACAACTCATACTACTAACACGTGACTAGTCTGACTAGAACATAATTAAATTTCTACACCAAAAACCGACAGCAATCGCAATAATGACAAGGGTAGGAGAATATATAACTCATCTAACGCCTGTCAGACCATTTTAGTTCTTATTTGTACTTAACGAGCCATCTTTTCCGTTTATTTTCTACTTATTTACTTACGCTTGTTACTCCTAATGAAGCATAGGCCGCCGACCAGCATTCTCCAACTCACTCTGTCCTGGACCTTCTTTTCTAGTTCCATCCAATTCTTGTTCATTTTTCTCATGTCTTTCTCCATTTCCCGGCGTAATGTATTCTTTGGTCTTCCTCTCCTCCTTCGACCTTGAGGCTTCGATGTG